TGGGTCCTACTTTGCTTGAATCCTACTTTGCTTTCTTTCTACCCCATCCTCCATCCCCACCCCAATTACGGTTTTTCTATGTATCCCCAGCTGTCCTGGAATGCAGTCTGTATACCAGGCTGGCTTCAAACTCAGAGATATCTACCTGCCTGCTTCTCCTTCCCAATGCTGGAAATAAAGGCATGTGACACTACCACTGGGCTTGATAGTCAATGAAAATTCTACACTACAGAAGTAACACATACGGGACAGTGGTGGCACACGCCTTTAATCCCAGCACTTGGGAGGCAGAGGCAGGCGGATTTCTGAGTTCGAGAGTTTGAGGCTAGCCTGGTCTACAGAGTGAGTTCCAGGACAGCCAGGGCTACACAGAGAAACCCTGTCTCGAAAAACAAAAACAAAAACAAAACAAAACAAAAAAAGGAAATAGCACATACTGCTGTAAAAATTGGAAAGCATAAAAAAAAATAGAGAAAATAATGGGAACCTACAGAGCACTGCAGAGACACCTTCCTCAACAGTAGCTTTTATTTTATACCTGCTGTGTATGTTTACGTGTATACATACAAATATATACATTTAAAAAATAGAAATGGATTAATCTTTGGAGTTGTTAGTTATTTTAATGAGATAAATATACATTCCATAAGGGTATACTGGCTTCATGCAAGGAATTCTTGCTTCATGTTACTGTATATAATAAGAATTAAGAATAGGGTTTTCGGCCGGGCGGTGGTGGCGCACGCCTTTAATCCCAGCACTTGGGAGGCAGAGGCAGGTGGATTTCAGAGTTCAAGAGTTCGAGGCTAGCCTGGTCTACAGTGTGAGTTCCAGGACAGCCAGGGCTACACAGAGAAACCCTGTCTCGAAAAAACAAAAACAAAACAAAAAACAAACAAACACCCTGTCTCGAAAAAACAAAAACAAAACAAAAAACAAACAAACAAAAAGAATAGGGTTTCAGCCTACTAAACATGTGACCAGCTGGGAATCTGATTGTAGAGGCTTCATCAAGGGTGTAGAAGCATGAACAGGGTGTGTGGCTGTGTTCATCATTACTGTTTGTTATAGTATGATATTATCCACCAAAAGGAGTTGGCTAAATAAACCATGGTACTCTATGAAATAGCAGAGAAGAAAGATGGTCTGTGTGCTGAAGAAGAAAGGATGGGGACATTGGCTGAGTGTGAGGGGGAAATCTATTTATATAATACCTTCTCTGGGAAGCCTTTCAGGAGGAGTTGAGAAGTGCCCAGATCAGATACCTGTGCAATAGTTGCCATGTATCAGGTTCTCAACTAAGCATCAAAGGTAGAAGGATGGAACTATGGAACCTGTTGCTGTGGAGCTCAGTATAGTCAGGAAGAGAACCATATGAACAAGTAGTTCTACCACAATACAACTAGATGCAGTACCAGGAGGAATATATAGTGAATGTTTGACATATGTCACCCATTTTGCCAGATGCTCTATCAGGTAGTATCTATTGTCATGTAAGACAGGTGTCTAAAGAGAAGCCTACAAACCCTAGAACCCCTCAGTTATCCTCTGAAGAAAAGTAACTGTCTCCAGAATCCTATTCAAATATACGAATATATGAGATAGATAAGACATGAAACCAACCCATTTTCTTTGTTCATGTACCTCAGCTAAAGACAATATATAGGTTAAACTTGGAGATCAAGAACCAAGAACCTGGCTTGACTCATAATTCTGTCCAACAGGAATCTTCTGTTTTAGAAGATTAAAATGTGGTAGTCTTAGTCTTCTTTGGAAGATATAAATGTTAGACGGACAAAGCATGAGAAGGTAGGTATCCGGGACTAAAATCTTATCTTAAAAATTACCAAGCTAAGCTGGGCGGTGGTGGCACACGCCTTTAATCCCAGCACTTGGGAGGCAGAGGCAGGCGGATTTCTGAGTTGGAGAGTTCAAGGCTAGCCTGGTCTACAGAGTGAGTCCAGGACAGCCAGGGCTACACAGAGAAACTCTGTCTCGAAAAACCAAACCAAACCAAAAAAAAAATTACCAAGCTGTTGCTCTATACCAGTGGTTCTTGACCTGCGGGTCACAACCCTTTCTGAAGTGGAACAACCTTTTCACAGGGTCACATATTGGTACATTATGATTCATAACAGTAGCAAAATTAGTTATAAAGTAGCCACAGAATAGTTTTGTGTTGAGGGTCACCACAACATCAGGAGCTGTATTAAAGGGTCTCAGAACCACTGCTCTATACGGTTTTGAAAGCACTAAGGTTCAGATAATATGGATGATGAAATAATTTTCCATTCTCTTTTATATTTATCCCCCCTCGCCACAGGTAATGTGTGTGTGCCTCTTCCTTGGAATGCAAAAGTGTCTCCTACATATCATCAATCTTGAAATTAGGACACAGGCTCAAAAGTCTAAAGTTGGACCACAGTTATTCATTAGTAGATGGTAGACTCAGATTCCAAAGATTAGGTCAGCATGAGTCTTTGACAATAAACCACAAATGAGGAGATGGCTTAATAAAGTACTTGTCATAAACACAAGGACTTATATTGTTCCTCAGAAGCCACCAAAAAAGACAAGCATGGTGGTGAGTCTGTAATAGCAGCACTTTGGGGGCAGATGGGTACACAAACACATCCCTCCCCCAACACACCAACAGGTTACTGGAGAAAAGTTCAAAGAGTAGAAAATATGAAAAAAGAAGAAATGGTCTGGAAGTCCTCTTGGGTCTTGAATCAAGAAAGAGTATATTTAGTGTCAACCCAGATGAGGTCATTCTAACCCCACCCACTTATGCCCTAGCTGTCCATCTTTCTGACTCAAGTATAAGGCTGGGGGGGGGGGGGGGGGGGCAGGCTCTCAATCTCTAGCTCGTCTGCTATCATCTAAAGTAGACTACAGCTTATAGTAAGTGCTTAGAAAATATTTGTTGAATGAATGAGTAAGTGAGCAAATTTCCCAATACACTAAAAGACCATCCTAGATGGATCTGGAGGGAGCAGCATGAAATGAGAATCATTCACAAACACAATTCCTACGTGCAAATCTTCTTTCTTGCTAAAATTTGCATATACCCCCAAATATTAGTGGTGCCTTTGAAGTCATTCTTGCTGTAACCTTCATTATTATCTTGACTAGATTTAGAATCACCATAGAAACATGCCGCTGGGTATGACAGAAAGCTTAATGGAGGAGGGATAACCCAACCCACCCAGACGGTGAGCAGCAGCATCTCAAACTCACGCGTTTGAGTGCACGTGGTGAGCTGAGCATTCATCTCTCCCTACTTCCTGACTGCGGACACCATGGGACCAGCTCCTGCTGCAGTGATGGACTATACATGTTTCAATCTGTGAACCAACAACTCCTTTTTTTTTTTTCAGGTGTTTTTGTCAAGTATCTGTCACAAAAAGAAAACTAAGTCATGCACATGGATATGTAGATAGCAGCACACTTGCTCTTTGCCCTTGTCCTAAGCTAAGGAATAAGGCAAAGTGGACCTTCTTGGTTTGGTGCTCACACGGAGATGCCAAAGGACAGAGCAACAAGGGGTAGTTTTGTGCTAAAATTCTAGCTTTGGGGTTAAATGGACAGAATTTGAGTTTTAACTCTGGCACCTGTTGGTGGGAAATCACAGCTCTGAAAATCATTTTCTGTTGTGTAAAATATAGGGAACAAAATCTAACATGATAAGTGGTTTTCAGGATGTAAGATCATGATCTACATACGACACGAAGGGTGAGGACATGCACTTGAGGAAGTCTAGAGGAATGTGAGTTGAGGTTGGAACATGGAAGCCAGGGCTTCTCTCGAGTCTCTCAACTACAGAACTCTCTGTGCATTTAATCCTTGGCTTATAGGTCTCTCCTCTACTAACCTTTAAGATCAAGTGATGGAAGCACAAGCTACCATCTTCTAAATTTCCAAACAAGTAACCACCACACACAGTTTTATCAAAGACATGGTAGGTGCATTTGATTTTCAAATGCAGACTTACAACAGTTTACAATAGTGACCAACTTAGAGATCTGTAGTTTGCCTATGACTTTGACATTTGACACAAATCACAACAGCTTTAAGATCCTGCACTTTGCAGTGTGATTCACTAAAATGGCTCAAACATATGGCCTGCTGTCGCCTGAGTAAAGACTCCTTTTAATTCCCTTTAACAGACTTCTTTCTCTACTAAGACAAAAAAATCTTACCACAGCAAAACACAGGAACTATATGTTACATGCTGCAAGTTGGATAAGAAAAAGTAGTAAAGCAAAGCTTATAAACTCCACAAAACAGTGAATCTGATGCTAAACTACAATTTTTCCTTTTTTGAGAATTAAGAAAAACAATTCCATATATAAAGTCATGAAAATGCAGTTTTGGACACATATATATTCTTATTCTCCCACCCTTTCTGCCCACCGTACTAGACTCTTATTCCAATATTCAATTTCCTTCTGCTTCCAAAATAAAACCCCCACTGTCTAATATTCCTCAACTTCTAAAATCTCAATTAAAACTACGAGTGATGAGCTAATTTATATTCGCAGGAAATGTCTGGCATATTTTTATTTGGGTTTGAGACAGTGTGAAAGACCAACTAGAAACATATGGCTAGAACCACCAAAGGAAGCCAAACACTGCCACACTATGAGGAACAAACAAATTCTCTGTAAAGACAATGCTGAAGGTCGCCTCTGAGCTGTTGTAATTCTCTCAGAGGCTGTGTGTGTGATAATCACATATGTCCCGTATCTTATGGACACGCGGGATGACCAGGCCCTTCCTTACAGTGTTAATTGGTGCTTTAAGCTGTGTCAGAATCCCGCTCTATCCACGTAACAGATTTTCAAATTGGTTGCTGCTGGCAAGCCTTTTCACCTGCATTTTCAGCAGTTTTGAGCAAAAGCACTTTATGAGGACAAAGATTATAGAAGAGGAGAGTGATTAAATGGCATGTAAGGGGAGGCAGAAATAGTTTAAGCAAGCCCACTGCAGTTCCCAACCTTGCAGAGCCTGTGTTCAGCGTCGTCATCTGCTTCTTGCCTTCACCCTTCCAGGTGCCTACAAAAAGCAAAGTGAGAGATGTTAGTTTCCAGGGAAAATGGGGCTGAAATCCCGAGGTTGACGGTGAACGTCTCGGAAGGCAAGAGAGAGGAAAGGCGGCCGGAGTCGGCAGGTCATAGCAAGGATGGTGAAAAAGGATGAGGTGAAGAGGAGTTGGCCCGCGAGCGCCAGAGCGTCGGACGGCCTGGGCCCGGGCCGCGCGGGGAAGGGGCTCTGCGCGCTCTCGGGCAGCCTGCGGGGAGAGGGGCTCTGCGCGCTCCCGGGCAGCCCGAGAGGAGTGGGGCTGTGCGCATTCCCGGATGGCCAGAGGATCCGGCCCCGACGCCTGAACCCACCTGGCCGCGCGGACAACGCCGCCCCGAGGTCCGCACCACAGCACAGCACCGCCTCCTGAGAGCGCGAGCCTCGGCGCACAAACGCTCGAGGTACCTCGGCCTCACACACGCGTCTCGCCCCGCCCCCTAGCGCCAGTCATTGGCTGCCGGACAACGCCCCATCCATCTATTGGGCAGCAGAGAATGCCGCTCACTTACCTGGTTTTGGTTGGTCTAAATGTGAAACAATGCCCGCCCAGCTCTTTCAGAAGTTTCAGCTTGTGATTGGTCTTAACGGCTGCCCATTCGCTCCGCCCTCGTTGGAGACTCCCAGCTCTGATTGGTTGAAGAAGCATTGGTCACGCCTAGATTGCGGTCCAAGGATGAATCACCCCCACGTGGGGGAGGAGCCCGAGCGCGAAGACTCCGGGTTTGTTTACAACGGCTACTGCTCCCGCTTGTCCATTGGCTAAGCTGGAAGTGTGTGTCACTTGTCTAGGTCACTTCAGGTCCTCAGCTGTCCACTGGCTAGAGATGAGTTTTGAGAGCGGGAATTTGCTTCTATGTTAAGTCGCGAGGTTAAAAAGTGGGACTATTTGGGAGATTGGAAGAACAGAAAGGGAAGCTTCCACGTTTTTAGAAACAAACTTGACTTCTTCAGTCCCAGCAGGCTCGAGGCTGAGGCAGGAAAATCACAAATTCCCCAGGGCCACCCTGAGCTCATTCTGCGACCAAATCTCAGAAGCAAGGCAGACACACACACACACACACACACACACACTCAGTTGTTCCGTCCTTTGGGTTTAAGATAACTGTACTGGCTGGCTTTATGTGTCAACTTGACACAAGCTGGAATTATCACAGAGAAAGGAGCCTCCCTTGTGGAAATACCTCCATGAGACCAGGCTGTAAGGCATTTTCTCAATTAGTGATCAAGGGTGGGAGGGCCCATTGTGCGTGGTGCCATCCCTGGGCTGGTAGTCCTGGCTTCTATAAGAAAGCAAGCTGAGCAAGCCAGGGAAGCAAGCCAGTAAGTAACATCCCTCCATGGTCTCTGCATCAGCTTCTGCTTTCTGATCTGCTTGAGTTCCAGTCCTGACTTCCTTTGGCGATGAACAGCAATGTGGAAGTGTAAGCTGAATAAATCCTTTCCTCCCCAACTTGCTTCTTGGTCATGATGTTTGTGCAGGAATAGAAACCCTGACTAAGACAATATCCAAACCTTAAGTTATGTCCATAAAAATAAAATAGGACATTGGTGGCTGGTGTGGTGAGTCAACAGTTAAGAACATTTGCTGCTGTTGCACAAGACAGTTTTCAGCACCACATGGTGGCTTACAACCACCAGTAACTCCAACTGCAAGGAATTAGACGCCCTCTTCTGGCCTCCAGGGTACTGCATGCACATACATACTTGAAGTTAAAACCCTCATACACATAAATCTTTTTATTAAAGATAAATTTTTTAAAAATGAAACTCCTCATACATCTCTGTCTCCTCCTGCCCACTGTCTGAATTACAACCACAACACAAAATATAGGTTTAGTAAAGATGATGAAGATATTTGGATAAATTCATCATTAACATTGACTTTTTCCTCCTCCCTCCTAAGGGATATCCTTCTATAATTGGTCCCTTAGGTACTCCAGGTCTATCACCCATTCTTATTCTCAATGAATCTACTTCTAATGGATGGGTTTTTAAAGATTGTACACATTTGTTTGTTTGTGTGGTAATGTGAGGAAGTCAGAGGACACCTTATAGGAATCAGTTATCTCCTTTGACCATGTAGGTGCTTCTGATCGACCTCGACTAGGCTCAGTAGCAGACACTTTTACACTCTGAGTTTCTTGAAGGACCAAACTCTGATTCTTTCATATATATATTGTGTTTAATTTGTGTACCTATGTGGGGGTAGGTACATATAAGTGCAGGTGCCCGTGGAGGCCAAAGGCATTGGATTCCCCTGAAGCTAAAGTTATAGGCAGTTGTGAGCTGCCTAATGTGGGTGCTAGGAATGGGATGGAGTCCTTTGCAGGAGCAGTATGTTATCTTAATGGCTGACCTATGTCTCCAGGGCCTAGGAGCTGAGTCTTAACTGTATATAACTCCATTTTGTATCCACCTAGAATCATATTTACAACTGTCCAGTAAAAATTCTAACTTGGTAACCTGGAAGACAGGATAAATGAGAAATGATGTGACCCTAAAGTCTGGCTCTTCTGCTTCTACCTAGGTTTTCTCTCTAAATAAATTGTATCACCGTTCAAAATGACTGTCCTAGGAGCTAGAGAGATGGCCCAGATGTTAAGAGCACTTGTTCTTGCACAGAACCCAGGTTTGGTTCCTACAGGGTGGTTCACAATAGTCTGTAACTCCAGTCCCTTAGGATCTGATGCTCTCTTCTGACCTTAGGCACCAGACACACACATGGTTCACATACATATGTACAGTAAACATACATACAAAAAGTAATTTGGAAACTACCAAACCCCAAATGTATGAATGCATTACAAATATATTCTTAATATGTTAAATACATACTTCATAATAAATACATACTTAAGTAAATCCAATGACTGAGTAAATGTCACTGGGCATCGACAGCATTTCAGGCTCTATGTAAATCCTGCAGCCAAAGACTGAAGGTTAGTTACATGGATTGTGTGCAGGAGCTCTGACTGGTAACAAAGAAGTAATCCAAGAGGATTCAAGGGCTAACAAAGAAAAGGCAGAGTTACTGAATGGCCAGGAAATTGCTATTTTAAGTGGAATGGTTAATTTAAGAACCTTCTGAAGACAACATTGAACAGAGAGGCACAAATTAAGTGAAGTAACAACTGGGAAAGAGCCACTAATGTGCACATCTCCAGAATCTCTCCTATGTGGCCTCTTTAGTCCCGAAGCGGTGTGGTAAAGTAGGTTTGCACTCCATTGAAGACTGCATACTCAAGTTTAAACCTTTATTTGATGATTCTGAGACTCCCTACCTGTAGATACCAAAATCCATGCACACTCAGGTCCTGCCCTAGTTAGCTTTAACTGTCAACTTGACAGCCTAAAGTCACCTAAGAACTGTGAGACTGCCAACAACAAACAGACCTGGAGGCATATCTGTGGGGGATTTTATTAATTGTTAATTGACATAGGAGGTCCCAGCCTATCTCCTAAGCAGTAGTTCTGGGCTGTGTAAGAAAGCTAGCTGAACGTGAGCCTGTAAGTGAAATAGTAAGCAGTATTCTTCTATAGTTTCTTGCTCTGACTAAACTTCTGGACCCATTAAATAGTAATTTCTCACCATTGTCTCCTACCAGCTCCTGTCAATCACAAGTCTGTTACTTAGTGTCACTGTCAGGATAGAGTGTTTCTAGGTTCTTGGTGTCTTATTCAAAGAATTGAGAAACCATACATACATTGCCAAGATCCAAAGATACTTTATTCAAAAAGCAAAGAGACTGTACAGCTATGTTCCTGGTGCAGTAAGCTCCGTGAGTTATGGTACACAAGCCTCATTTATGGGATCTAGAAGGAGAAAGAGCTGGTTACTCAAGAGTATAATGTCAAGGTCTCTGTTTCGACTGAGAGGCTTGGATTATATATGCATTTGCTTACTGCATGTGTTCTTTCCCACAAGGCATCTGATTTTAATTGCATGCCTATGCAATTAATCATATGCATAAGCTATACATAAGCATAAGACGGTAAATAGGTGTGTGTTAGGATTCTCTAAAGGAACAGAACTAATAGAATTGTGTGTGTGTGTGTGCGCGCGCGCGTGTGTGAAGAAATTTATTAGACTGGTGTATAGGATGCGGTCCAGGTAGTCCAACAATGACTGTTTTATACCGGAGAGGCCAAGAATCAGCAGGTAGTTGTTCAATCCACAAGGCTGGATGTCTCATCAGTCCAAATCTGGTGATGGAGTACTAGAGGATTCCTGGAGAGCTGCTGGACATCATTCTCTGTTGGAATCCAAAAGACGCTGGTCCTGATGCTGGTGAAGGAATACTGAAGCACCAGGATAGATACTGTCGGTAAGAGTGAGGGCAAGCAGACAAAAGAGAATTTCCTTATTCCCTGTCCTTTCATCTGGGCTGCCACTAGAAGGCATGGCCCAGATTTAAGGTGAGTCTTTCTGATTCAAATCATCTTATTAAGAAAATCCTTCATACTGGGGCAGTGGTGGCCTTTATTCCCAGCACGTGGAAGGCAGAGGCAGGCAGACCTCTGAGGCCAATCTGGTCTACAGAGTGAGTTCCAGGACAGCTAAAGCTACACAGAGAAACCCTGCCTGGGGAAAAAAGAACACCAGAAAATAAAAACAAAAATAACCAAAATGAGAAAACCCTTCGCAAGGGTGCCCAGCAGTTTGGACTTTAGTTGATTGCAGATGCAGTCAGATTGACAGCCAAGATGAGCCATCACAAGGGGTTTTCTCTTAAAAGTTCACTCACAATATACTTTGCCTTATGTAAAATATACCCCAAACTAATTCAGGCTGGATTAGCCCCTGTCTCTTGTACTACAGAATGTTCTGAAATATGTTGGGATGGAAACTGACCTAAAAAGAGGGAGCTTTCACGGGCTGCTAGGGAGGAATGGCTTACTCATGATTTATTTCATGCTTGGGTAAGAGTGTACCTGTAGCTTGAGAAAGGTGAAGATCTCAGGTTGCTAGGTGCATTGTTAGAAGAGGGGTGTGTGCATAGCCCAAGGTCTCGGGTTACTAAGCTAGCCACATGCTTGCTACCTCAATTCTACTTTTTGTGTTTATAAACTTAAGTACTATGGGAGAATCTCATATTAGTGAAACCACACAGGATTTGTTCTTTTGTTCTTTTTTATAATTCAGTGTCTTCCAAGTTCATGTGTCAGTATGTCACTCCCTTTTAAGACTTAGTAATACCCCAATGCTGAATGCACTGCTCATATCCATAATGGACACACAGTCTTATTTCAAATCCTTTGCTTGCTTTGGAATCAGGTAATTTTGACTCATAGAAATTTGTTTCATTTCGCTTTGTTTTTTCAAAACAGGATTTCTTCCTGTAGCCCCTGCTGTCCTGGCATTCATTTTGTAGGCCAGGC